CAATAATATATATATATATATATATGTATGTAATACTAAGAGAAAACACAAATATTTTTAATTCTAAATAGATAAAACTTCTTTGAAAAAAAAAACGATCTAAGAAGCAGCAGAAATTTCAAAAAAAGTAGCAATAAAGGAAACGAAGGAAATAAGAATAAAAATATGACCACCGAAGCCGACGTCTTCAGGTGGTACCGACCCCGGAAGCCATAAAACAAAACCATTTCTAATTGAGGGAGAAGCAAATGCCTAAATTAACTCCCTCAGTGCCCCGATGGTTTTGCATGGAAGTCCAGGAAAAAACATGAAATACAAATAACCAATTTAGAAAAGAAACTCAAACAAAATCATCAGAAAATAATGATCGTCAAAAATAATGATTTGAAAAAATAATTTTCTGATGATTTTGTTTGAGTTTCTTTTCTAAATTGGTTACGGTTGGTTGGTTCTTTTCTAAACGGCCTCGGTGGTCATATTTTTATTTTTATTTCCTTCGTTTCCTTTATTGAATTATAAAACGTTTTATATTTTGAAGTGCTTGAAACATGTCGACTGTTATTTTCTTTTAATGTATTTTTGAAGCGATTGAAGTTTTTAATCAGGTATGGTTTTTAATAGTCAACTTTTTTAACTACGTAGCTCAAAGTATCATTTAATACTGCATAATCTTTACTTAAGTGAATTATTTAATGTGTCTCCAACTTATAATTCCTATATTTCAAGTGTGTCTTTAATCATAAAAATTACAAAATACTTTACCAATAAGGAAGATCTTATTGATGAAACTCTAAAAGAGCATGAATTTCTGTGTCTGAGCACGTTAAATCGGTTCAGCATTAAACCATAATACCGTTTTCTTGAATTTTGATGCCGTGAAAATGTATGGTGCAAATTTAATAAGGTGTTAAATTGAACCACATTTCAGTGGAAGTTATACCATATCGCTTAATATTATAGTTTAAATTATTATTATAATAAGGTTGCAGGCAGCAAACTTGAAATATATTACAGCTTGATAAATTTAAAGTTAACGCTATTTGAGCTTCATGCGCAAAAGTTTCCCTACAATTCACAAAGTCATTAATTTAGTTATCTATTAGTTTAGTAGAGAATTAAGAGAATAAGGTTAGTATTGCGGGTATCATAAGAAAACATCCGTACAAAATCTGTCTAATATTGTTTAAGCTCCAAAAATTTTAATAGTGTAGTGAGCTGTAAATGTATGCATGAAATATTACTCAATTTTCCAAGGAAATGAGATTATATAAAGATTTATTATGATTTTTTGCGAACCAAATAACAATTTTAAAAAAAACTAAAGCTTTAATTTGAAAAGTAATTTTATTATAATTTTTCGTTCAAAACTTTAATAACTTCTTAAATATTTTACAAGTGATTGATTTTAATGAAACTAATAAATACAAGAATTTATTTTTACACTGATACAATAATATCTGTCACTAATTTAATTATTTATCACTGCGAAATAACTGGCGAATAACAGCTATCAGAAAAAAACTACACATATTTTTCATACTTTTCTCATTATTTTGTATTAATTTAGATCTAAATATGGGGAAAATATTGTATCTTAATAGTTTATGGTTATGAAGTACAGCACGGAACACCGCTGTCTTTTCTGCGTTAAAGATAAAATCTTCCAAACGTGGATTACTAAACAATAATTTTTGAAATTTGCAGTTATTTAGATCTAAGCGAAACAGTCATTTATCATTAAAATTTCTTTAATTTAGAGAATCAATTATTAATATATTTTTGAATATGAATGGAAAAAAATATTTCAAACTAATTTTAGTTATTTTTTTAATTTATATTTTAATATGAATGTAATTCTGATAAACTAACAAATTTTTAATAACTATTTTCGCTTAAAAAAAGCTGGAAAAAAAAGCTTTCGCAGAAAAAATATACGAGTATGAAAGAGACACCGGTGTCCCATCTATGTCAAAGAGTTAATTCCTATGGTCAAAATTGTTGCCATTTTTTTCATATACGCAAAGATATTGGATACCAGCAAGTGACGACATCGTAGGTGAATCGTGGCATTTGTCGATACAGAAGCCAATCAGGTTCGATACAAACGGTGGCGTCGCTTACAAGTATTCAAGGAAAACTAATTTAAATCATATGGTTAAGCATAATCACTCCCCCTCTTCTCTAGTTTCAAGCACCCAATAGAAATAAGTATGATCTTGTTTATAATAAAACGTCTTTAAATGAGACATGATCAAAAAGTTTCCGTTTGAGATCGCTGTTGCAGAATACGTACCGGTGATTATTCCTAATCATCACTAAATTTAGTAAATGTCATACATTATTGAATATTTATCAAATTTATAGGTTTATTTTTATAATTCCCGGCTCGTAATGGGGCATATATCTTTTCGATATCTTTTGTGGAATAATAGAGTACCTATTGCAAAAAAAAACAACAAAAAAAAGAATATTTTTACTTTACACTAAAAAGTTCGTTGTTAAGAATCGAAGCATACTATTGTATTTTGATTTTAGAAATACCAGGGAAACAACACTTATGTCAATTTACCAAATTTATTGGTAATAAGACAAAATAACCGGAATAATCACATTTACCGCAATTTACACTAATGCAGGTGTCTTATAAATCCAAGCAGCGCCAGTGTCTGTGTTATTATTATTATTATTTTATCACGGCAGAATAAGATTCGATATATATACATCATGGAATAAAGAACGTTTATGTGCAATCTTGTCTGTCGAAAATCGACGTCGTAGAATGGAGCTCAAATCTTAGTGCTAGTCGTGATTCAATTCGATACAAGTTGATCTGTTAGGCCTTTTACAAGCATATAACGTAAGTACCCATATCGCAAATATTATTGCTCAGAAATATCACACACTTAAGTAGGACTCTCTCTTTGTGATTTTTTTGAGTTTACCTCTCCTTGAAAATACCAATAAAAAGTCAATGGCTACTTACTTAGACGAAGAAAAGCAGCAAGCAGTTTCAGACTTCATCTAGTAGAAAAAAGACGAGTCTAACCAAATGGTTATGTTCTAACAGGTGAAGTAGAGCCACGATCGCTCATCGGAAAGAACACTCGGCTCTCAATAAGGCGGAGAGATTCAAATCCTAGCGAGGGCTTGTTGTACGAAATCTTTTCCAAACTCGTACTAATTACACTGCTGACATAAATTTCCTCAGTGGTGGACCGAACATGGATTAGAATTCCATTGCAGTCGGGCTACCCAAGAGAGCTTAAAATGGTTCTTTCCGTGTAACGCAATTGCTGATTAGTTCTATCAAAAATTCCTCCACGAAGGCTAGTTTGCCCCATGCTTGATCCATTAGTTCTCTTCTGTTATGGGATAAGATCAAAATTGTAAGATTGATAATCCAAGACTCAAAATTTAATCAGCTGTTCAACATGGGTTAAATAAAAAGAAAACTGGTAATGCTGTTGGATGATTTCCTAAATGCTCAAGGTGACTGGCTCACCAAATCTGAATTCCTCAGTCTTCAAACGGAAACTTATTGGTCTCTCCTTATCTTTGCAATAGTGTCCTTTTCTAGTTCAAGCATAATGTTTCCTCTTATTTGAAACATTTTCAACATAATGCTGTTTTTCTTCTCTCCTATTTTCTTTTAGGATAGATGAAGAAGTCAGCAACATAGAAGCCAAACATACTTTTATATCTGAAAATTTGAAACAAAACAAAACACTTGTACATGAACTCATGAACGAGAAACAAAGAATTACCCTGGAATTAGAAAAACTGTCAAGAAAGTTACACATCGAAAGGGAAAATTGCATCGGTTTGAGAAGATCTCAATCAGTCGAATCCTGCACATCACCTTTGTGATATTGCAAAGCTGTAATCATTTAGCAAAAAACATAGATTAAGGATGGAAATATCATATAAGAACACCACACTTTTTTATAAATATATTTATTACACAATGCATTTTTGTAACTTAGAATAAATTATTTTATCCAAATTTTACAACGAAACAATTTTGATACTATAAATCAACTGAGTACTTGCGCTTCACGAAGAAGAAGATCAGAGATACCCACACGTGTGACGTCAGCTGATCGCTTATAAACAAAATGGCGTATTTAAGTTGAGCGAAGTTTCTCCACAATCCACATGAGTCAGAACTTTAATTGACGTGAAGTTAATTTAATACAGCACCGTATCACGCATCGAATTTGTTGAAATATAATTCTTTCTCTTCTACGTCTTTTACTAAACTAATATTTGTTATTTGTTATATATTTTACTCTAACTGTTTTGTGTACTTGGCAACTTCGATGCATAATTAGTTTATGTTCTACATGGCCTCATGCCTCTTTTTGTGTTAAATATAGAAATATATAGTGAAAGAATTGAAATCTTTGTGAAAGAATCTTTGTGTAAGAATATAAGTCGCTTAATAGAATTGATACTTGACGGGCTTGGCTTACTAGAAATAGAATTTAAAAGATCAGTTTCTGATGTAAGCAAATGCCACTTTTTAAAAACCAATCAGGATTGAGATACCCACTCTACGTCATTTGCATGTATCCCATTAACGCTGTTTTTTTTTCGAAGCTCTGTCGCCAAGGAAAATAAAAAAGCCATATCTTAAATGCCTTACACTTGAAGCAGCGCGATGATTTTAAACTATGTATATAATCTTGCCGCGATAAATTATCTGGGCTTTATAAAAAAAAATAAACTTAAATATTTTAAAAGTTAATAAACTTTTTTAAAAAATTGCCAATTTCGTGACATTTTTCCACCTAGATGAAAATTATCAAAATCACTGCCTAATTCTCAGTTTTTTGCTAATTTTTGTGAGCCCAGGTAAAGCAGCATTAATTATTAAAAAATTAGACCATAAAAGCTTTTTACGCTTTTTATTTATATTGAGCTATTTTCTAAATAAGCATATACCGCATTGGCTTTAGATAGGCTAAACTTGACCAAACAGTCGTGAGTAACAATTGCTAACCAACAGCAGTTATAAAAATATCATATTATTAGCAGAAAGTATCATTTCATATTACGACGGACCCTTCGAAAAACAGCCTTAAAAATATTTTCTCCGAGGGGAAAAATATGGAGTGTAGAAACCCCACCTGTTCTGCTACTTGCAAAGACAAGTAAAATGTATAAGATAGTAATGTATAGTATATAAGTAAATGTAGTACTGATGAGGAAATGGTATAATAATTGGGTACCTGCAAGCAATGCCATGCTTAGGTATCGAATCTAATTGGCTGCAGAATCGCGGCATTTGCTTATGCTACGATTTAGCTAAGTGATTTCATATCATACAGTATAGATGCATAAATACATGACAGATCTGCACTATACAAGACGATATTTTTGCCGGATATCAAGAAACAACTGGATATCTAGTGTAACTTGAACTGTTGTACAATTAAATAAAAATGATTTATTTCGAAAAAAATTTGAAAGTCAAGCAAGTCTTTGAGAAAAAAATTTCTACAAAAGTAATTGTTTTATAATTTCATTTATTTGATAAAATTAGGATTTATAAAATAAAATAGTATTTTAACCCTTTCGTTACGAATGCGTATTTAGCAGGCATCCACGTGATGCCCTGTGTGTACGAGCGTCGTTTTTAACCGGCATCATCGTGATACCATTTGATAAACGGTCGAGCGGTACAAACCATTGGACCGTTCTGACCTGCTCCATTCCGGCCTGCTTTAAATTGCCATGGTGGTATTAAGCCAATATCTATATATTAATAGGCTAGCAATATTTTGTCTCGCTAAAAACTCCCAAACTACGCAACAGAATTAAACAAATAAGGTGTCGTTTTAAAGGTATTGTTATGTAGATGTGCAATAAGGTCTTAAATTATGAAAATTTCCTTNGACCTGTTCCGTTTCGGCCTGCTTTAAATTGCCATGGTGGTATTAAGCCAATATATTAGATTAATGCCACCAAAAGTATATTTTGAATGCGTTTAATATGTTTCGTAGGTAAGACATTTTTTTCAGCTTATAGAGCGCATAAAAAAACCGAAATAGAAAAGGCGTCATTTGCATTGCATACGATAAAAGACCAGAATCTAAGTATGAGTGTAAAACACTTAATCTGGGTTTGTATGTCGACCCTTGTATGGATGGTGTCTTCAATTAAATGTAAACAATAACAATCTCGAGTTCCATACCTGCTTTAGTTCCGGTTAGAAAGTTTCCAACAGCTTATTCAACGAAGCGATATTTTCAAACGGTTAATTTTGTTTTCAATAAAAGAAATAAATTAGATAATTTCTGAGCTCAAATCTGCCGTATTTCATAAGATATTAATGCTATTAAGTAATTCTGGTGGGTTTGAAGAGAAAATTTGTTTTAGTTATTTATAGATATGTTGTTAAAAAAGGTGACATGGTTGCTAGATTTTGAATAACTCGCTTTTTTTGGCAGTTCTGATTTGTCTGGAATCTCCTCTTTCCATTTGTTTATTGCTGTTTGTTCTTGTTGCAAGCTGTGCACCATCTTACGTTAGTGTTAGCACCTTAAGCATTGTAAACACAAGTATTGTTCGCTTTGTAAACACAAGTAATAAGTAATCAAATGCCACGTTTGCAAGAATCTCAAAACACAATGATAACGGTGTGAGCCAAAAGGCTTTAAAATACATCTGTAACAGTAACCCGGAAGTATAGGCGGTATGGAACTTGCAGCGTTCCTTAGTGTAGAAAACATCATCCAAAATTTATCATACTGAGTTAAATTAATAATTTATTTTTGAACTATTACGAGTTGCATTTTTATTTATAATGCTGGCAAAATCTCCAAGTATTTAAACGTCTGCTAACGATGTACTATGAGCACGGTGCACCGTTCAGTGGTGTCGCTTCAGTTCAGCAGATTGCTGTAACACAAAGGTTAAACAAATATTGCTTTTAACAAAAATATGAAATGTTTGCAATTATCTCTATATCACTTAGAATGGTGTTTTCTACACTGGGATGCATTGCAAGCTCTTCACTGCCCATACTTCCGAGTTATTGCTTCCGGTGTATTTTGAAGACATTTGACTCACAGCGTGAATTTGTTACCTGATTTATTATTTGTGTTTAAAAAAAGAATCATCATTTGAAAACCTGTCATTTCCAGACGTCAGAATCATCATTTGAGAAAAGAATTGTTATAAAACCCTTGTCAGCAGTATATGAACTTTGAAAAGTAAACCTAAATGACAATTTGTAAATGAACTTAATCTCGCAGCTCAATAACGCTAACACTAACGTATGATGGTGCATGACTTGTAACACGAATAAACAAATAAAAAGTGGTCAAATCGGGACTTCTTTCTAAATCTAGCGACCATGACATCTTTTTTAACAATACATCTATAAATAACTAAACAAATTTTCGCTTAAAACTCACCAGAATTACTTAATATCTTATGTAATACAACAGATTTGATCTTAAAAATTACATAATTTCTAACATCATTCTCATAAAAATTATATATTATTCTATAAACAATTTATCTGTTTGAATATGCCGCCTCGCAGAATAAGCTGTAGTAAGCAGCTGTATACTTTCTAACCGGAAGTAGAGCAGGTCAAGAGCTCGAGATTGTTGTTCTTTATATTTATATTGAAAACACCATCCATAGGATAAAAAAAAAGCCGTATTTCATATTCTTCTTTGTTTGAATATTTTACAATGATTTAGTTGACAACTATGTCAACTGTACGACACAAATATTTTCAAATTATGAGATTCTCATTCTTGTAAAATTCCCATTTACTCAGTTTTCAGTATTTATGTTTACAGAACGAGATTCAATGGTGCATCCATTTGGTGAGCATTGGTATCCTTCTGGGCAACAATGTTCTCTGTCAGGACAACAGACAGCATCTTGTAACGGGCAGCATAAATCATAACAAGATGTAGATTGAGTCGGGCATTTTCTCATTTCTGAATCCCAAAGTTTGAGAGCCACAGCCTTCTTGGTAAAAAAGTTAATCCTATTTTCACTATGGAGTTCAGCACCGACACAGATTCCTATGTATGGAATGCATGTCTGGCCATGTTGACAGCATTCGAAACCGTCACTACAACAAACGGCGTCCATATATGGACAACATCCGGATTGGCACTCCGTTTGCCATGGAGGGCAAAGTTTTACTGCATAATCTGTAAATATATACAGGGTGATAATTAAGTTTTAACACACACACAAATTTCTTGTTCTCGGAAGAACGTTGAAAAAATACAGAAATATTTCTTAATGATTGCCTTTGATATGGATTTTATAATCCAAACAAAAATACAAAATAGAAAGGAGAAAAAACAGCTGCACATTATTGGACGCAAATTAATTTTTTAACAAGGAAAACTGAAAATACTATTAAAATATGACATACAATTACTACTGATCACTTACTAAGATTAAAATCCTCCAAACCTGTTTGATTGAAAGATGAAACTAAGAAAGGACTTGCGTGCAGCGGAATAAATTTTCCTCCGGAAATCAAATTAATTTTAATGCCACTTTCTCCAATAGTGTTCGTCAGATTTTAATCACATTTTCGTTCTTTCCTCACTAAAATATTAATTTGAGACCACTAAAGTTTCTATATTTTGTCCTCATTTTGAATACAATTATGATTCATTCAGTGGATTGTTCAGTAAGATACGCTTCCCAGCAGATTACCGAAGTCAAGTATCCCTGGCTGCGGTCAATGTGCGGGTGAATGACCATTTGAATCAATCTGCGAAGGTATCGAGTGTGTGTGATATTGGTCCTCGTTCTACCGTCAAGTACTCGATTTCGAGCACAGATCGTCGGTCTACCGAGCGGGGTTGCCATCTTTTCTGCAGAGGTTTAAAATTGTGATGGCATGTCTTCGTATCATCTTCAATCATGTTATTAATCGACAATAGCCTATTGTGCAGCTATAATGTGACATAAATAGAACTAAACTCAGTGGCGCGACAGCCCATAGAGGACCAAGGCCTACCATGCCCATCTCAGTTTTCCTGATCTTGGGCTCTGGGGTGCAGGAGCAGATGTTCCGGTTAGATGGTCAGCCAAACGCGAAACCCCCATTGTTTAGTTCCCAAGCATGCTTGGTACTCATTTATCGACCCACTAAATGGATGAAAGGCTGAGTCAACCTTGCCCGGCCCGAGGATCAAAACCTGGACCTGAGGCATGGGAGCGCGAAGCGCTACCACTCAGCCAGCGAGCGTCGTGACATAAATAAACTACAACTATATTAGAGGCGGTTATCACTAAACATCCCAGTACATTATGAAAAACAAGTTTGAAAATATGTATTTAAACTCAAGAAAGCGAAATAACCCTTGCTAAATTTAATAAAGGAATGGATATTTGATGATAATTTTTAACGCATTGCTATAAATTAATATTTGTAATTAACTATGCCAAAGGTTCGGAATGCACTACAGAAACACCTACCATATATATCAAATCAAGAAAAAAATCAAATCTATATTATAACAAAATAAGATTGCTTAAAGATTTCCAAATTTCAATGCTTCTAAAAATACGCAAACTTCGCTTTACTGAAGTTTAATAATCTAATCGTACATAAATAGTTCAAAACTCAATTTTTTTAAAAAAAGATGAAACTTATTCGACTGTCTGAAATATTTGATAGCAAATGACGAGTGGGAATTCCGCGCACTACTCTAAGTCATTTATTTGAACAAGGGAGGGAGCCTACATTCTTAGTGTGAAACTATCAAGCATATATATTTATATATATATATATACACTAAAAATATCTTATGGTTAGCCCGGTGGCATTAGTATCCATGTCATTCCTCTACTATTAAAGTTGATTTGCTATTTAACATAAATTATGATCCAATAAGAATGCCCCTTATTAAATATTGGGAAGCAAAAAAATAGCAATTATTTTTGCATGCTGATAAAATATTTTTACTTACTGAAAGTTGTGGAATTGTCTACAATATTAGCAGTCAAACCAGAAGAAAAAGCAAATCCTACTATCACTAAGTAAAGTGGTAGCATTCTGGAAAGAAATGGAAGAAAGAAATTACGCAATAAAAAAAGGTTTCTTATATCTTGGTCAAACTCATTGACGCTGCTTTTATAGTGCCATTTTCACTGTGTTCGAAAAAATCGCACTTGCGAATTTAGAAATGAGAACGAGAACTTGATTGTAGAGTTTTTCATTTTAAATTTATTTTACAAATCAGATTCGTATTAGCAAAAGCGAATTTTTTGCGGGCAGTTTAAATGGTTACCTATAAATGCTTGATTTTCCCTCAAAGATTCACCACCTTGCCGTTCTTCATTGATAAATCTCAAATCTTATACAATAGATAAAAAAGTGTATGGTATCAGTATTACGCATTTCAGATACAAATCGTAAAAGTCTCAAATCTTACACTGATTTGATCAGCCGTTGGTCCACATTTTCATTGTAATGAAAATGAGGGTCTAACGATAGCATTGTACACAATGCTGTAAAATATGATTGTCATTGTGTGGACGCAATAATTTAAAAAATAAAATTGTGTTTTTTTTCCTTCAATAATATGTTTTTGGGGCTATTAACTATAAAATTCAAATACTATTTACTTATTGCATTTTTTTTAAACTTGAAAACAATAGCTAATGGCAGTGTTTACTGTACTCAAACACTGGCTTGACTGATTTGACGTCTATCTAAATAAAAAATTGTCTTCCTTTAGTATACATCATTGCTGTAGTTGATTCATTGCCAATATCAGCAAGCCTGCTTGGTAAAACCAACCGAATTTAAAGCAGATGGAGCGTTTCTTGTTTTTGAGTGACACATCGCAGCCCGTTTATAGGGTGGACCCATTCATACATCTATTTATTCATAGTATACATCATACCTTGGAGTAGCTTTTCTATATAATAGCTGTTCATTTTAATTACTATTGTTAAATGAACAATTATTTAGGAAAGCTTGCTGGGGAATCATGGAGCGAAATGTACCCAGCAAACACAACATTTACGGCGGGATAACGGGCCAATATACAGTGACCGATAGCACCGTCATCGGCCCAACATAGTTGGCCGAATCGGCTGCGGCAAAAAAGTGTCCGGCCGGCCGGCAGCTGGAGCCGATACTGTCAATGATGTCGGGACGATGTCGGCCATTTGACACATTTTGATCGGGCCATTCTTGGCAAGTGCATATCGGAATTGTATTGGCTGTTTTCAGTTGTCCAGAAACATTAAAATTTGCCCGATAGAGGCCCAATATTAAGATGACGCTGATTTATAATGGACCAATATCGGCTGTTTTCAGCTTTCCGATAGTGACCCATCATAAAAAAGGATATTAATTTACATTGAGCCAACAAGTAGCCGATAAATTTCCATAATGGACCAATATCGGCTGTTTTCAACTTTCCGATAGTGACCCATTTAGAAAAAGGATATTATTTTATATTGAGCCAACAAGTGGCCAATAAATTTCCATTAATGGTTATATTTTCTTCTTTAACTTTTCGCAGTATTAATACTTTTTAGGATTCTCGTTGTTGAAGATATATTATTCTGATGGCTACTTTTTTCCTTAGTGCCTGATAGAGCTAATATATTTGAAGGGGCATTTTTATTAAATTAAAACTTTTACCTTTTTTAGAGTAGTTATATTTATTTCCTTTCTGAAGTACTTACATTAGGAAACATCGTAACAAAAAGTGCTTTGCAAAGGGCTGCATTGAATGTAACAACAAAAATTTCTTTAAAATGTAACTTCGTATCAAATTTTAGTAGAAATGAAAATAAGCTCTCCTTCTTTTCTTATATTTATAAGCATACTAACCCTTTTGTGTTAGAATAAATCATGGTTTGATTGATTCATCTAGCAAAATTATTATAAAACAGAGAAAAATATTTTTTTTATATATTCTTTATTGTAGTCTAAATTTGAACTTTATATTTAATTGAAATTTTTTTTTGTATCGACTATGTTTATAAAAAGTTGAAATATTAACTTTCCTAATCTTATTTAAAAACAATTTAAAATAAAAAAATGCAAAATTAGAGTTATAAATTATCCTCCAGGAATTAAAATTCCCTTGTGTTATTGTAAAGTATATAGTTTGATAATTAATATAAATTTAAAAAAATCAAAATTACAGTGAACAATTTTTATTTTAAGTGGTGATTGCATGTTAATTGAAAATGCACATTATTTGCAATGTAGTTTTCTGGTTAAAATCTTTTCGCTTGTATATTTATTTAATGTTAGTGTTTATAATTATCAATTAGCAAGGAAATAAGCAAATAAATGTTTGAGGAAATTTATTTTAACAATATATAAAAGCTTTTGATGACAAATGTTTTCAGGAATTTATTTTATCAATAGTATTATAAATAGTAATAATAATATGACAGCATTACAAAATTTATTTCATTCAGCAATATTCTTCAGAATTCTTCTTCTTTCCTCTCTTTTAACTTCTCTATCTCCAACATATCTCAGCCACTTTTTTACATAATCTCAAACTAATGCTTCTGTGACGTCAAGGAATTTACTTCGGAAAGCACCTATAAATGAAATTAAGTGTTTAATGTTTTCTATAAAAGATAAACAGCGAAAAAAATAAGAGAAATTATCATTTACACTTTAAAATATTAATCAATACTTATCGAATATTAGGAGAACACAATCCAACTTTAAAGTACAATATGTCTGTTTAAAAATTATTCCAGTAAAAATTTAATCAAAGGTAATTTTTTATTGTAATTTTGGTATGATAATGGTGGGGTATTATATTAAAGTTAGTGTATAAGTATTATATGGTATTATATAATGTTGTTATATACTAGTTATTATAATTAAAAAAATGAACCAAACTCAAAACAGGCCTAAATAACATTTTAAATTGGCAACGAAGCCAATTAAAATTAATGTCAGAAATGCATTTAAAAATTCGACTTTTTAATGCGTAACTACTTGAATAATCTTACGAGACAAATTTTTTTTTTAAATAATCTATAAATTGGTGTTAATCAGCACTACGAAATCATTTATAAAACCGAAAGACATATACCGATACTCACCAAATTTATAAAACTGAAAGAATAATTTTAAATTTATTTGACTTACTATTTTTTTTTGTATTGAATGGCAACTTTACATAATTAGTATTTATTAGTTTTATAAATTTTTGAAAGTTATATTACTAATGACTGATAGTCAAAATTTACCATAATAAAAACAGATTTTAAAAGCACAACATTAAACAAAATAATTTCGTGGTTTCAGATAACACCAGAAATATTAGTTTAGTGACTTTCTTCAAATATTCTACACCTACATGTTTATCATTAAGCTTATATGACTTAACGAATAGAGAATGGATAGTAAAAAAAAGTTCAATGAAGTGCTTTTTTGCTTAAATAGATCTATAAGTGAGAAAACATCACTCATGTTGCAGTTAGAATATTTGAAAAACAGATTATTCAGTTTAAAATAAAACAGTACCTAATGATAAACCAATCTGAAAATTCCATTCTTTAAATCTCTCAACGAATTTAAATTTTTGAACAACTTTCAAGATTGATATTTAAAATTTCGCCCCCAGCCATGATCTGAATTTCTGGGTAGCTAAAATGATTTAGGACTTATAGAAGAAACAAAGGAACAAACTTCTCCTTTCAAATTATAGCTAATTATAAATGTTTATATAAGCATGCTAAGTTCTTAAAATTTCTAAAATTTAAGCTATTTTTATGATAAAGTTCTTGTCAATTATTTTATTTTAAGTTAGTTTCCTCTTTTTTTTTTTTTTTTTTTTTTTAATTTTNAAATTTCGGCAATGCGTTTATCTGAGTAATATATTTAATTGATTAAAGTTTCAAGATCACAGGCTAATACAAAAGAGAAAAATAATTTCAAAGTGAAATACTAGTACATTAATAAAAGGCGTGGCTACTGATTAACCACCAGATTTTTGAATGCAAGCACGCGAACGGGCATGCATTGTGTCATACAGATGACATATGTCATTTTGTGGGATGGTGTTCTATGCCTGTTGCAATTGGTCGGTCAATATGGGGATAGTTAATTGTGGTGTGGTCACCCACAACAGCAGTTGTGGGTGACGATGAAATCGTCGTCTATGTTCCATACGTGCTCTATTGGTGAAAGATCTAGTGATCCAGCAGGCTAAGGCAAGTGCATATTAGGTTACAACAGCAGTATGAGGGCAAGCGTTATCCTGTTAACGTAAAATATCCTCAGTGGTAAACAGATCAAGGGTTATCCCCTTGCCGTCAGGCTAACCATGGAAGATTTCCGTGATTTTCCTCTCCATGTAACGCAAATGCGGATTAGTTCCCTTAAAAAGTCCTCCACGATGGCAAATTTCTCCCAATACTTGATCCAGGAGTCCCCTTATCATCTGAATTGGGTTCAAAATTACAATGATGCGGAATTGAACATTAGTAGTCGTAAATCCAAAATAGGGTCGACATTTTAAAGACGATTAAAAAATAAAATAAAATCATGCGCAGTGAATACATTTCACCCAAGTTTTTCTGCAATATCGTGGATCGCAGCCCTATCACGGCCACATTCAAAGTCAGTAAACTTCGCCCTCTTAAAAACATTCTTGCCAACCGACAACTCATTAAGTCAAAATTTAAAGAAAAATAACGCTTATGAACTGTAAAACACAATTTAAAGTTACCCTGATTCGCATGTTCACAATGGCACTACTAGCTCCAAACTTATGCGATAAACGCGAAATTTGAATAGAATCATCTTTTAGTTGCATAAACAAGCCTACCAAATTTAGTTTATCTAGCACAACACCAGCGGGTGCTGCAGATTATTTCCCACCCCAGATTATTATTATTTTTTAATATAAAAGAAAATGGAACGACGAACGAAACAAAAAAAAAATATTTTTCTGCCTTCATATATGAAAAATAATGAATTGTTTTCCTTTTGATACCAAACAAAGACAACGTTTATTTTGCACTTATTGTTTGTTTTTTCTGTAAGCAAATTTCCTATGGTGGTTTCACAAAAAATTTCACAGTAAACTTGAAACAGGCACAAATCCAAACACCATAAATAAAAATTCTCTTAATTCTTTCCTTAAAAATGGATGGATTTTATTTTAGTTCCATCATCCTGCAAGTTCATCCTTCTGTTTAATAGTAGGACAGGAAAATTTAGCAATCAAATGCTGACAACAAAGTCAATGAAATTATAGCACTATAGTATTGTATACTACAAAAAATTTATAATGAATAAAATTCAAAGATATCTGTACGGTTAACATTTTATAGAAGTTTGATAGATAACAGTTGAAAACAGAACACAAATGTTTTCTGAAAAATGAGACATTAATTGTTTTAATACTATTCTGAATTTAAACATCATTGAAGATTAATTTCTTAGTTAATAAAAACCCATGTCATAATATTATACAGATTATCTAATTAGTTTATTGAAACACAAGTGATTGTACGACGATAGATTTGAATTAACATAAATTACGTTTATATACTCATAGTGTTATAGATTGATTAAAAATTAAATTAAATTAATTGATTGAAATGAAAGTAAATAATGATGAACAATTACTCTCTATAAACATTACTAGATGGCTGCACCAGTTACTACAGTTAATAGCTCCATAAAGTTTTTAACTCATTGAAATCAAAGATATCAATTTTTACTTATACTGTAAAATTTCTTTTTTTTTCAAAGTGAGCTATTTTTCTTCCTTTCATCCATAAAGAATGGCAAAAACTGTTTCAATGACTAGTTAATAGAATATTCTATTAAATAAGAATAAAATATAGAAGAATAAAACATACAAAACTGGCTTTTTATATTTAAAAAAAAAGCCAGTTTTGTATATTTTATTCTTGAAGGAAATAATGAAAAATTTTATTTAATAATTTTTCACTATATAGCAGCATCATAAGGAGAAGGCGAGCTCGTTTTAAATTTTATACACATTTTTAAAGGTGGAGAGGTGCCTCTTATTTTCTCCTCTTTGTTTCAGCATCACAACATATTTTTTTCCCAACGCATTTCATGTGTTAGAAATGAACTTTTGGAGGAATCACCTAAATATCTTTTCTCTGATCTAAAGTCATATATTTTCTATCTAAAAATAAATAAATAAATTAGTAGCTACAGAAATGAAAATATCCCCACTGTTAATTACTATATTTTTTATAAATGAGTTTTCGAATTATTATCGGCAATTAGTTTTGATGTGAGGGACCTCTGTACAATTGCCTTGGTACAACAATGTAGCTTCGTGTAGCGATAAGAAAATATCGATATTAAAGAAATATGTATGTTGCTGTTTCTAATGCGACTTGCTAAACCACGCAAATTTAAGGTTGTTGTTGTTGTTAATTTACGTCGCACTTGAGCTGCACAATGGGCTATTGTCGACGGTCTGGGAAACATCCCTGAGGATGATCCGAAGACATGCCATCACAATTTTGATCCTCTGCAGAGGAGATGGCAACCTCCGCTTCAGTAGCCCGACGACCTGCATGCGAAGTCGAGCACTTTACGGTAGAACAGTTTAACGAGGACCAATACCGCACACCCTTGGCCCCTGCGCAGACTGATCCAAGTGGTCACCCACCCGCACACTGACCACAGCCCGTGATGCTTGACTTGGGTGATCTGCTGGGAACCGCGTCTTAACGATTAGTCTACTGCAAGACGCAAATTTAAGATTGAGGATGCGTTTGTTGTTTTTTCAGTGGCGACATCTATGTCCAAGAATACGACTTCAGCCACACACACGTTACCGTCCGTTGATAGGGTGGACCCATTCATACATCTATTCATTCATCCACAGATCGTAATTTTGACCTGAATCAGGGAATGATCAATCTTCAATTCACAACACCCACGAACACCCCATGGTTTGTTATGGGAACGTGGACGACTTTGTGACCTAATTTAACCGGCACCAGTCATCATTAATTACTCTGGAAGTCCTGGGAGTCTCCCAGTCGACAGGTTATTACCGGCAGGCAATCGAACTCCCGACCTCTTGAACATGAACCAGACGCCCTACCAACCAGGCTATCCCAGCCCCAAAATATGCATTTATGTTGGAATAGAGAAGAATTTCGAAATTATAAGCAATTTCTGTTATTTCATAGCATGAATTTATGATTTCATAATAACGTGCTCAAAATCGAACTAACACAAGACAAGAAATCTCTTATTTTCAATCTTTTACAAGCTGAAATGAATGCAGGAGCATTCAGACTGACATTGACATATGAAAATTATGTTGGTGCGGTGGTTGTCATTGCTTTTGCTACATGACAAGCCATATTTTAAAAAAAAAAAATTCATCCTAATAACTGGCAACCGTAATAAGAAAATCAATTCAGACAGTTAGAGAAATGTGAGAAAGGAAATCTTAATTAATAAATTAATAAAGCTATAAATGATGCTCGGAGTTCAGGAAAAACGATAACAAAAATTATATTGAACTTTATTCTTTTAGAAAGTGTTTCGTAAAGATTCCCTAAGTATCGAAACATTACTTGTGGACCGTATTTTACGATGTGTGAAACTGAACCATATTAAATTTTAATTTAAGTTTCTTATATGTATCATGTCCCACCATAAAATGGGTCAGTAGATTTAATGAAAGATTTTATAATTTACATTCGAATTTAGAACAGTTTTTCTGTAAATATGCACATATCTTTGTTGTTTCATGTAGCTATTGTGACACATAAAATGCATTGAAATTTTTTCCTCCTTTTATCTTTATATTTCTGTATACTTCTATTTAAGATAGAAAACTTTGAACTAATCATTAAATTAATTAATTTTCCCTAATGTATTTAATGTGTTCTTTTAATAAATATAACAATTAAAACCAGTTACAGGTTGAACAAGATAATGTCTGTTAAACACTTAAGACATTATTTAAATCCTTGTTTAACAATAATTTTCTGCATTATACTTTCAAAACAATTGCACGCTTATCACTTTCCTGTTATTGAAACTAGGCAGAGTTTTAATTAGTTTGTCAGGTAATTTGATATACTCATTATGTAGCTTAAATGCGATTACTTCTTTGGCAATTATTTCCTAATCAAGTTAATGCATGCATGAAATTAGATAGTCATCTGATCCTTGTCTACTTTCCTTCTATGTCAAAACTTTTGCCTTTTTAGTTATTATAATGTAAGTGTAAAGCAGTAATAAAGGCTTTGTCTAGGGTTGGAATTTTTTAATTGTTTATTGATAATATTAATTTGCAGTTGCAAACATTTTCATGAAATAATACTTTAATGACATTAATGCTTTAAATTTACAGATTAAATTACTATTTAACCTTTTGTTTTAAATAAACTCAAAAGAGAAAAAAAAAAAAATTTAAATGTATTTTTCCAATATTTGAAATTTTTACATATTTTTATCAAAATTTTTTGTGTATTTTTGAAAAATCTCCTTAAACTTTTTGTATGTTTTTTGTAAGATATATATGTTAGATATTTGAAAGATCACTAATTTTATGATTGAATTTTAGGAAAAACAGACGATACTTACGTTATTGCTAAGTACGATTATACAGCTCAAGGAAGTCAAGAGCTTGATATCAAGAAAGGGGAACGACTCATTCTCTTAGATGACAGCAAACACTGGTGGAAAGTACAAAATGCAAAACACCAGTCTGGTTTTGTACCTTCAAACTATGTCAAAAGAGAGAAACCATCTATATTTGATAGCATTAGACGGAAAGTTAAGAAAAAAACTGAAGCCAAAATGTCACCCACTGCTTCTCCCATTGCTACAAAAGAAGTAAATGTCGACTCGCCTCGTAACACCTGTGACAAAACCAATACATACACCGGTACATCTGCAATTGTTAAATTCAATTATGAGGCTCAGCAAACTGACGAGATATCGCTTGCGAAAGGAGCGAGAGTGACTGTTATGGAAAAATCCAATGACGGTTGGTGGAAAGGTGAATGCGAAGGTGTCGTCGGATGGTTTCCTTCGAATTATGTTTTAGAAGAGGCAGAAGATACTAATGACAGCAGCCACAATTATACTCCAGCAGGTTCTGCTAATAATACTCTGCAAGGTGGGGGTTGTTTAGATGTGGTGCTAGCCCTGTATTCTTTTACCTCTCAAAACGAAGAGGAGTTGAGCTTCCAGCGAGGCGAGCATTTAGAGATTCTCGATAGACCTGAAAATGATCCTGATTGGTGGAAAGCCAGAAATCAAAGAAATGAAGTGGGATTAGTGCCAAAGAATTACGTGCAGGTAGTTTGCCACGGTAATTCAGTCGAAACTTATCCTGGGAAAAACTTTCCTCTATCTAGTAGTGCTGATATTTTAATGGATAACGGAGTTTCACGTAAGGAAACTAGCTTATCTCTCGGAGCAAGTGGAGGGTCTCCGGCCCTGTTCCGTAATAAATTTGGTAGCTTGCAAGAAAGACCTGATCTGACTGGTAAAAGCTGGTATTATGGTAGTATAACTAGAAGTCAGTGTGATCAAATGTTAACTGAGTATGCAGAAGATGGTGATTTTATAGTTAGAGATAGTGAAACAAATGTAAGTTTAAAATCGTGATAAATTTTATTTTGCTCAAAAATCAAGAAAATTCCATTGTTTAATAATTTCATTATTGTCTTTTATATTTAGTTTTCAAGTTAATTTCATTTTATAAAATTTTATCGAATTATTTATTTACTTGTGTAAATCAGTGGTTTACTAATTTCTCAACGGTATTAGATATTTTATAAAATTTTATTAAAACATAGAAATCAGGTATCTGTCCAGGACAAATTTACTACCGCTTAGCGGTACCTTCACAAATTCAACTTTAGGAAAAACGGTAGTTTCACGAAATACTTTGTCTTAAAATTTTATTTTTGTATCCCATAAGAAACGATAAATCCGTATTTTTACCTTATTTTTGTGTTGAATTTTTAATGTAATTTCTAATTTTCACAAATTATGTCTAAATATTCACAAAATAGGTAGGTACCTCTCAGAAAAACCAAGACAGACCCCTGGAAATATTTTCTAGCCAGATAACAGGTTGTCAATAAAATAACAGGTTATTTGACAAAATATTTCAAGTCCAGATTAATTATTCAATTAACAAAAAACTAATAACTGAATTTAAGAAATGTCAGTTGTTTCTTCTCATTTAAATAATAATTTACTAGTTTGTAATAGTTGAGTAAGTTGTAAGTACTTGAGTTTGTAATATTCTAAAAGGTGTAATTAAAAGTTTGCAAAATGATGCTTCTTGTAAGTCGGCCAGGGTTGGCAGGTTTTTGACAGTTTAAACCATGGTTTAAACCNTGACGTCAAAAACCCAACCCTGAGTCGGCGAAAACTTTATCTAATATGTCTTATTCTTTTAAGTTTCAACTTGAATTTTTAGAAAATATAATTAGTAGAAGCTTACAAATTATATCATCAGACTTGCCCGAATAATATAAAAGTGATAATGTGACTTAGGCTAAGCATGTAAATCTGTGAAGCAAACTGCACATGCCTGACCAAGCATATTAATATTTTATCAGAAATACCAATTAAACAACCCCTTTAATTTTGATGAAATTTGCTAGTACATGGGATATTTAAATGTGTGTACTAAAATAGGAGAGAAAAATTATTATATTTATTTGATAAAAAAAATTATAATTATTTGATAAGACCTAAATGCTGATATGCATACAATTTTTGATAGTGCTTTGCTAATTAATAATGTTCTGCATTTACTCTGTTAATGCATATTTATGTTTAATACACACTTAAAAGTTTCACTTATTATTAGCTGTTTTCATGTATTTACTTTTTCCTTTACTTTTTATTGTCCCTCCTTTTTTTAAGGATGTAGGATTGAAGTTAGTTATAAGATTAACATTGCAGTAAATTCCTTTGAGAACATTGATGATTTTTTATCAATTAAGATTATTGCCTTTCTCTAAGAAAAATTTCATTAAGTTTTAAAATTTATATAAGGGGAAATTTTTGTTTTTGTGAAACTTATGAAACATAAATTTATCAGGAGTAATTTTGAAACTATAACAAGCTAATTTATAAATATATGTATATATATATATATTTGACTAAGGAATTAAAATTACATGCATTATTATTAAGTCATTATTTAATGCCTTATTGGATTTGTTTAAGAATGTGTAACAAGTAAATTTTTCATATTTACTATGAAATTATAGTGGTTCTGCCGCAGGTTTTTTTTATATTCCATATAGCTTCACATCTATAAATTATCATTAATATAATTTTTAATTCTTGGAAATGACAAAGTTTTCAGTAATAGAGGAAATATTTGAAAGCAAATTATTATTATTTTTTTGTTATATTTTTTTATTTTTATTCAAATTGCTTGCCAGTTCTCATTTTTAATTCTGCTTTTTATAGGTAGGAGATTATTCTATTTCTCTGAAAGCAACCGCAAGGAACAAGCATTTTCGAGTGCACGTAGAAGGACGTGTCTTTTGCATAGGACAAAGGAAGTTTGATACTCTTGATGATTTAGTAGAACATTATAAAAGAGCTCCTATATATACTAGTCCTAGAGGTGACAAGTTATATTTAATCAAGCCTTTTCAAAAAATTGCTAAAAATACTTCAAAATCATAATAATGGTTAACTTTTTATTATCAATTAAATAATCATCTTTTTCATTTATACATTTGTGCTCAAATGATCTGAGCATGTACTACTCTCTTCCTGGAATGGTTGTTGCATGAAGTTCTTACAGAATTTAACAGTGCCATTCTTATTAATAGTATAAATATATATACTTGTTTCTTGCTATGTAACCTGTTTACCACGAAGTGCCTTTACTTTGGCTCCCTTCTTTAAACTTTACAACTTTAAATCTGTTTATTCCCTAAATAATCGACATAGCTGCCAACTTTTGCTTTATGTGTGGATTTTACGTTTTCCTCCTTGTCTTCTGGTTTAATATATTCTCACTTTCATTGATAATTCGCTTAAAGAGTTTTAAAAAATGAAAAAGTTTAACGCTTAAAAAGGGGAAATTTCAAAATTTCTCCTATCAAAGTTAACTTTTTGCTAAATTTATTGCTTGCTTAAGTATTAACTGTTAATTAATAGCCTCATTTATAGTAATCAGTTTGAAGCTTTATTTTTGAATATTCTGAACTTATATTATGATTTTAAATTTATATAATTATTTTTATTTCCAAAGTATTTAAATTCAGTTTTACTACTAAATAATGACGTAAGCCTAATTTATTTTTGAAAATTTCAAATTTTCTGTTTGAAACATTCTAATTTTTTTTTTTTTTGAAACATTCTAATTTTTTTTTTTCAAATTTATAATTTTATTTTACAGGTACTAACTATAAATTATTTAGAATTAAAAATCTATTTAAATTTATAGTTAATGTTTTATTTTTTTCATATCTGATGAACTCTAAAATTTCTTGTATCTTAAATATTTAATATATTACTTAATATTTGCATAAAATTTTACACACTTTTATTAGATTATTTCCTTTTCATGTTGGCAGCTATGATAATAAAACTCATACATATTTGGTGACATATGGCCACATTTTTTTGTAGAAATGAGTTAAAGTTAGTTTATGTTTGCACAACTTACGAACTGTTGCTGTAAAGTCCTTTTTAATCGAAATAGTGTTCTGATTTATCTTATTTTGTTTTAAAAAAGGTTTAAAGTTAGATAAGTATAAAATTATTTTATCATTTTTTTCAATTTAGTACTTTTTCTACATTTAATAGAATATTTCAGTGTGCTTTGGAAGTTTAAAATTTGTTATTTTTTATTCATTAGTTTGTATGTTGTGTAAAATTTAAAAGCTGATTTTATTATATTTCTCATGAAAAATGTGACTTAGAGTTTGCTTGAACTTCACAACATCTCCAAGGAACTCGTAACTTTTATTTAATCTGATGTTATAATCAAATGGCACTTCTTAAATATGCTATTTTTTAAATTATAAGTACTAATTTATGAATTTTGTTCTGTGTATGTGTCTAGTTTTATAACTAATTTAAATGGTTTGAGAAATTGGGATATAAATTTATGAGAGCTTAAAATTTTCTTCGCAACTGTATGTATAAGCCTTAAAAATTATTAATCTTCCCTTGGCAAGAATTTAGTATAATGTAAATAATATGAGGAAAAAAAAACAAAAAAAAAAATTTTAGAAAGTTGTTTTTTTTTTATTTTTAGAATGAATGTTGAGACACTAGTAACTTAAATGATTTGTATCTATTTTACATTCCATTTTGTAGTTTAAGTAATTCATATATTTTCATGTATTTGTTTTTGTACTGTTCTTTTATTGTAGTTATTTGTGTTAGATCGTTTGCACTATTTTTTATTGAAATCTTTGCATTAAGCTTGTTTCTTGTCATCATTTATTGCCATAGTATTTTTTTTAAAATTTTTATGTGATAAGATGAATCCCATATTTTGCTGTTAAAATAGTCAAAACTAATTTTTTTTTATCAGTTTCACTGTTTATTTTCAAATGATTTTAAATTAACATTTTAATTTGGTGTACAATTTCAAAAATTTTAAGTGTCTTTCAAATCAGGTTACGAAAATGTCAAGTTTGTAGTTGCTGTTATCTGTGCTTTAGTATTTTTTAAAACTAGGTAACATGAAATTTAACATTGTTTCGCTTATATGTAGCCTCTACAAAATCATTATAAAATTGGGTAAAATATTTCTTTGAAAGTATTAAATATAATATTAAATCTATAAGTTCATCTTTTACTGTGAAATTGATCAATAATGACAGACTGGATAAAATCATTTATAAATTATGCAATTTAATATTTTGATTTTATTTTAAATTTCTAATTTTGGACATAATTTATAATCTTTAATTATGTATGTGTGTAAATTACTAATACTCGATAGTAAGGTTAAAAGGGAAATGATAGAATACTTGAATCAAGTGCAATAGATTCATTGCATAGTAAAAATTATTCTGTTGTAGTTTATAAAATAATGCCTACAAGTTTTGCTTGTTACTTTTAAATAAGTTTAAAAAAATTTGTTAACAAACTTGTTATAATGATTGCCGTAGAGTAATTAGCAAGGAAAAATGTGAAAAATAATAATAATTGAAAATTTAGCCCATTTTATAAAGCAGAAATAATTAAGTATAAAATGGAAATTAAGTATAAAACTATGAATGAAAGTAGAGTGAACTAATTATAAATTGATGTGCTTATCATCCATCCATTAATGGAGCACATAATTCAAATGTTTAACAGAATTTTTAAATCCTGTGGATGTGGGATGTGGCCGAACAGTTCCTTAAGGATAATAAATGCTGCAAGTTTATGGTAAAATGCCTTCCCCTCTAGTTCCACCGTAAATCACCTCTTTTGACATCCTATGCTCAAAATCCTTATTGTATGATTTCTTACTTCATCAATTCGTACCATCATTTATTCCATGTTTGTGATCTTAACCCACTGACGGTTCTGCACGTAAAAAGTCGCATTTTAACCTGCAGTCTTCTCTGCATAGCAAAACCGGTTTATCCATGCTAATGGATAGGGGAATAGTGTATAGTAGAGAATCATTCTCCTAATTTTGCCCATTTCCTTAACCGCCAGTGGGTTAAAATTTCTGTTGGCACTTTTTAAATACAAAGATTTCTCACCTTGACGAAATTCATTTATAGCATCAACATAATTTGAAGGCAGTTTCTGGCTTTCATCTGCACATCTTCACACATGGAGATGTTAATAGTCTTTTCCACTATTTAATGTACGTAGATGAAGCCTGGAAATCATTGAAGCAAGGGAAAGTTGCAGTTTTTAATGCTTTTCCGTTTAGCATCCTATTTCGAACCTATGCATTTTCTGTTGGTGTTGAAATGTTTCCTAGTTCGACTTATGATTCCTCTATTAACCTTATACCATTTAATGGCCTCTAGTTTCTGTGCTATAGTGCAAGATTTGGCATATTGGCTCGAAAAATTGCCATCAGTAAAGTGAGGAAAGATTTGAAACTGAGTTTGATTTTAGTATTACCGTGTCACATGCAAGTTTAAAGATGCTTAACCTCAACCATTGCGCAAATCAACCATGGACAATTCAAGAAAGCAATCTATTTCAAGCTATCAACTCTAAAATTTCTTTTTTGTGTTATCTCCTTATTTTCAAGAGACTCTATGCAGGACGTAGCATTAAGTACGAACTCAAATGTTTTCACCCTGATTCTTAAGCGCATCCAGTGAAGTCAAACAGCTGGTGATGTCATTAGTCATGCTTTCAATAGTCTTTTATTGTTTCTCCATCTGCTTTAATTTATACCTTGATAATGCTGCTTTGGGGAAAAAGTGAATATGCATGAGGATGCAGTTTTTATTTATTTCTATCATTTTGTATCCCACCTGAAGAAGTAGAAAAATTTGATAGAGTTGAGAAATTATGAGGGTGTTGGTCTCTATGACAGGTGGATAGGAGCTTAATCAAATCTGTGGGGCTTGTTCGGTATTTTACAGTAGGTTTTTAATACAGATTACACTGAAAACAAATTCTTCACTTTGATTCAACTTTCAATAAAAGAAATCTATGAAATTTATTGTGGGATTAATTTAAACAGGTGTTATTGAAAATTAAATCTTGAATGCTCATATTTGCGACATTTCTTAAAAAGATTTTGAAGCATTATTTTCAGAAGTTAATAGGCTAAATTATATTAATGTACAACATCAAATGCAAACTTATAAAAATATGATTTTATGCATTTTGAAAAATATAATTATTTTTGTAGTCAGAAATCTCATTTAAAAAAAAAAAAAATTCTTCCTAATTTGAAATTGTGTAATGCAAATGTTAGTCGTGTTTTTCTGTAGTGGCATAAAATATATTTCTTGACTACTAAATCAAAATTTCACTATCACAATATACAGAATTTCACTTGTTGTTGGGTTTTTTTTATTTTTCACAACAATTAGAAATGAAATTTAGAAAAGAGCATTTTTAAGAATTTTTTTTTAAAAAAACTTCTAATAATTCCTGAGTTTTTCATATGAATTAATAAATTAAATAATTTCTGTAATTTTAACTTTTTAAATAAATTTTCTAAAGAAATTGTATTTTAATCTGATTGAAATTTGAAAATAAAAGCAATTTATTGAAATGTAGTTATTTTCAAATGAGCATTAAGTATTTTCTCTGTTCTAGGAATTAATAACATAAGCGGAAACTTTTCAAATATATTTTTCTGACTTAGAAAAGAAATTTTTTTAGTATTCAGGTTAATTGCAATATTATAATAAACTGTTATCTTTTTATTAGGTTTATAAAATCAAATTGTACACTTGATAACTAAATATGTGTTAAAACATAAACTTATGAATTGGGACTGTTACATAAAAAAAATTCTATTTTTGTAATTTGTTAGTTTATGTCATGAAATCAAGGAATTATTTTCTACTTAAGTGTGTATTTTGTGAATGGTATTTTTTATTTTTTTTTAAATCTTCATTAGACAACTATTTTGTATTACACAAAAGCAACCTTGTTCCCCCCTCCCCTAAATCTGAGTTTGGTGTAGATATTTTAGTTTTTGCATTTTGATAATAAAAATTAAATACCATTTTTATATGTCAATTTGACATTTATGCATTTAAGAATCTAAAGCATTTTACTTAAATTTTAGCAATTTACTGCTTAATGCAAAGATTTCATTAATTTTTTTTTTATCTCTTGCAAGATAGTTGTGGTAGCACTAGTCTACATTTTATGTAATTTATTCACGTTAGTTATCTATTTATTACAAATTCTAATTATATAAATGTAGATATATCTAAATTTGTTTCAAAATCTTAATTTTTTTTCCTTTTATTTATCATATTGAATCATTTCACTAGTCAATATCCTACTCAATTTGAATGTTTGCTTATTTGTGTGATTGTTCTTTAATATGTAAAACTTTCAGGAAAAACAACAAAAAAAGCTATTAAATAATGAATATTAGCTTTTCATATTTATGATAAAAAAATATTTGTATTTAATAACTAGAAGATATGTTATGAGTTTAGAATTTTAAATTTGTTATGTAAAAAACTGTGATATTTTGATTCATTTATTTATTTTTTATGCAGAATGACATTGCAGCTGTATATTGTAGCTGCTGCAGATGCGATCTGAACTGTGTTGTGAATGTAATTTTATTACTTTTACCGTAGTCCTAGCATAGATGTATTAAACCTAAATCTTCTCTGCAATTTCATGCACAGAGTAAAGCAGCTGACGAAATAATAACTTGTTTGAAAAAAACATCTCTTGGTTGTTTCCTTTCTTTCATATTTGAATAGGTAAGTGGATAAAGCAAGAAGAAGAAATTATTTCTAAAAAAAAAAGCCTGCTGCTTAGAAACTTTGTTAATGGGGAGGCATTAATGTCTATAATGTAATTTTTTATTTTTTTTTAAATTCTTGTTACTTTCATCCACTTACTCCATTCGTTATATAATTTATTGCTGTAAGCATCTGTCCTTGCGGGCAGATTCATATTGATTTTCCTCAGGTTGATGGTATGTACGAGGTCACAGTGAACGTACATGGTTCGAAAAACATCAGGGTGAGTTGACCTTACTCCTCTGCTGAGAGCATATTTCCCCAGATCAGTTTTTCTTTTCAGTTTAAAATCCTCCCCCCCTCCTCCCAAATTATTGCACTTTTTAAGTTACAATAACTTTTTCAAAAATAGAATTTGTATTTTGTTAAAAAATGTAAAAAAAATTTTGCATCAAGGAAAAATATATCAGTCGGTTTTACGCAATTCTTGCATAAATTAGCATATTTGTTAAAAAAATAATGTAAGTAAAAATATATTAAATTAGTAGTAAAGGTCCCTCTCATAAACTTAAGGAATTCAGGCCAATAAATAAGTAGACTTATAAAGTTATTGTGTTTGTTTTTAACATAACAAAAAATGTTCTTTTCAGAATGTAAATTAATATGGCGTAAGGGATTAAAAAATGTCTCACGGATCACAGAAAATGTCACGGGTCAATTTAGTATCCGACATAACGAACATAGACTGCACAGTGGAGAAAAGGTGTCGCTACATTCAGGCTATTATGCGCCGCAGTTGGGATACGATGTCATTATGTTTGGACTACTAAAAGCTCAAATTTCTTGTTTATAGTAACCCATGCTGATGCCCCTCTTCTAGGAGCTATTTGTGGATCCTCAATCGCGTAACCTAGCACAGCTGACCAGGGCATTACTCCAAAAACTTGTCTCTCTTCCTGCACAAACACGATTTTCCCACATGGCATGTCTTTAGATCTTTTTTTCTTTTCCCATACGTTTTTAACTGAGTTCAAAATAAAAAGCTCGCCACCTATTAATTTTTAGTTATAAGATATTATCAAGACAGTACATTTGTTAAAATTTGAGTTTCAAAAAATGCTTTAATAATAACTTTTTAGCTGTGCAAAATGATAGTTAATCTGAACAGATGCGATATAAAAAATATTGAATCTAGAACTTGCCTTTACTTAACCTTTAGAAAAGTTCTTGGATCCAGATAGTTTGAGCTTTAGATATAAGGCTTTTGTTTAAAATTACCATTATGAGGTGAATAATTCAAATATAAATTACAGAGACTAGTTTAATATTTCAAAGTCAGAAATAGTATATTTATTTTTTACAACATTAAAAATATTAATAATTCATTTAATTGCAGGAACAAAATGATTATTTGTTCATTACACTCTTTGGCTTTTCAATTCATTACAAATATTTTTTTTTTAAACAAATTTAGTTTATTCTAGTGTTACAAACATGCTGTTGTAAGTATTGGAAAATTAAACATTCTTCTTTTCCTTCGATTACAGAATATCTGAAATATAAAAATAAGTTTTTCTCATACACATTAACTTAAGAGCAAAGTAAAATATTCCAGTAATAATTTCATACATGATATATATGCCTATCAGGAAGTCATACCTCCCTGTAACGAAATAGCACTTAAGGGTCAGGCTTTATTTGTTTAATTATGCCTTAAAAATTTTACAGCATAATTATCTGGTCATGTATGTTTTAAACTTGTTTAGATATAGTGGAGGTAAATATCATTTTAAATAAAATTTTCATGATCAAATGGTAAATCTACAGTTGCTTTTGGCGGTAAGAAAATCAAGTATATAATTAATGAACAGTAATTTTAAACAATAATTATTTAAAAGTCAAGCGAGGTTTTTTTTTTACTACAAAAAAAATGAAGTCGTGAAAAAATAGCTTTAATAGTTGGTTTTGTTAAAATTTTCAAGATATTTTCTTTACACAGAACGAATAAACACGAGTTTTTTATTTTTACAAGAAAAAAATTTGGTCAGGAGAGAGTTAGAGCTGAATATCAACTTGACATTTCAGTATATCACATCGATTTATAAAGGGCAAAACTTTTGGTAACGAGAAAAAAAACAAGACATTGACAATAATTGTGTGTTTCACACTCACTATAAATACTTACTGTTGGCACAAAGGTTACTCAAAATTCTGTGAAATTAAGTTGTTTTTTTTTTTTTTTTTTTTTTTTTTTTTTTTTTTTTTTTTTTNTTTTTTTTTTTTTTTTTTTTAGGTTTTTATTGTCAAAATCTACAGTGTGCCAACAATGGAACACAAAGTATATAAGCGGTGTAATTTTGGGTTACAGAAATATTCAACTTCTATATAAAGTGGTCCTAAACTTCTGAATAGTCCAAACCCAGATTTTGAAACTGATTTCAATTTTTTAAAGAAACTTAAAAGTAACTGAGAGAAGCGAGGGGAATTTTTGCTTTCATAAATGCAAAATTTTCTTCTAGAACGAAAGTGAAACCTCTAACTCTATATTTTATGTTTAAATTTTTATGTAAAAAAAGGAAAAAGTTATGTTTGTTCAAGAATGAAAAAAAATTTGTACTTTCCTAAATAATCCTCAATTTTTATAATTTCTCGAAGTTTGATGTACATTTTGCGACGCATGATGATTTAAACAGGGTGGCCACCCACCTGGAATTATCGGGGAATTTTTTTTACACTGGAAAAATCAGGGAAATTTGTATAAAACCTGGGAAAATCAGGGAATTTTAAAAAAGGTCGAATTTTTTTTTCTTTTTTAATTTCACTAATTTAAATTATTTACTAATTTTCTTAATTTAAATTATTTCATCCATTATACCAACTTTTTTGAGACGGAAATGTATCGCCAAACAGTTGAAATGTCATCAACTTAGTGATACTTTGCTTGCATCTAAATTTGCTCCATTACAGCTCTGTTAAACTAGAATGCCACATAAAATTCTCCCACGGTTGCTAAACGAATGTAGAAACCTTGTGCAATTTAGGAAAGATTCTGGTGGAGGTGGAAGAAGGGATTAGGATATTAGCTTCTGTTTTTAAATTCTGTCTTTGGGCTGAATCCATTTATGACTCAAGTTTTGTTCCAATGCTTTGGTGGTAATTTTTTTCTATTTTTACAAAATGTTTTAGTATTTTTAACTTTATAAATTTCTCTAAAAATTAGTTGATTATAATTTAATAATAGATTTTATATTGCACTCTTTTTCTGAAAGCTTTTCTACTCCCATTCAAATAAATCTGTGAATTATTTTTTCTCAGCAAACCAACCAATCACACATTTTTTTACAATCGCTAACAGCAATGTTTGTCAACAAATTTTTACAATTGTTGCATTAATGCTAATGTTTTCTATTTCATTTTAACCTTTTAGAACAAATTTTAATTTTAAAAAAAAGTTTTTTTTAGAACTAACTATATATTAATAATTAATTTTATTCTTCTATTGGTCAATATATGATTTTGATTCAAAATTTTGTACCAAACATTAAAAAATAAATAATAAATCTTGCCAAAATGTCAAAATAAATTATTTATTCAAGATGATATGTTAAAAAAATAACATTTTGAATAAAATATTNTTTTAAAAACACAAACATAAACAAAGCAAACAGATAGCTTTGTGATCTTTGAGCTAGTAAAAAATAATTGAATCTGTAGTATAAGTTGAAACAGAAGGTATTTAAACACGAAGTTAGCTGTGAATGCATATATATTGCGTTAACAGTTTTTTTTTTTTAAAGAAAGCTCACCGAGTTTTAGAAAAAAGTAACGATTTCATTCGATATTTCCGTTACAAATACTTTTACTTTTTCCCTAAAAAAGTAACGAAAGTACAAGTAAAAGTACGTACTTTTTACTTGTACCTGCGGTACAAGTAACGAAAGTAAAAGTATTGCCATGTATGCAAAAGAGTATGTTTCAAGAAAAGAAAAAAAATGATATAAGTGGTGTAATTTTGGGTTACAGTAATATTCAAATTTTATATGAAGTGGTCCTAAACTTCTGAATAGTTGAATATGGAAATAATTAGAGGAAAGCTAGAAATTGCTTTAAAGGTTGTTACTTAGACCTTATATAAATCTCGGATAACTGCTCCCTCACCTGAGGTGAACTTAAGACACTATCTTGAAATTTCTGGAGTGAGATTTAATCTAGTCTATTGCTATCTAGACAAGCAAGATATTCTTTCCCATGTATTATTACCAAATCCAGATTTTGGAACTGATTTCGATTTTCAAAGAGACTTAAAAGAAGCGAGAAGAATTTTATGAGATGAATTTTTGCTTTCATAAATGCAAAATTTTCTTCTGGAACCAAAGTAAAACCTCTAACTCTATATTTTATGTTTAAACTTTTATGTAAAAGGAAAAAGTTGTAATGTTTGTTCAAGAATGAAAAAGTTTGTGTACTTTCCTAAATAATCTTAAATTTTGTAAAGTTTTATAATTTCTCGAAATTTGATGTATATTTTGCGACGCATGATGATTTAAACATCTCTGAAAACATGTTCCAGGAATATAATATTTCTATAATACTCCTTTGCTGAACTTAACCAGTAAGAAATATGTGAACTCAAATTTGGCACTTTTTAAAACGATTTTACAATTACTCCTTTCGTCCAAAATGAGTTGCTACAGTTAGATCGAAAATTTTGTCCCAAATTAGTTGCTACATTTCAAGTAGTAAATAAATAACTTCCGTTGTAGTTAAATCGATCACCACCAGTAAAATTATTCTAATAATGAATTCATCAGTTAGAAGTTTGTGATTACTGGTGGAAGACTCCTTGCAAAATTGGGCGTGGCTAAAGAGTGTGCGAACTCCAGGATTTTTTTAATTAATTTAGTACTGATTTAAGGAAGGTATGCTTGGTAAGTGTATGCTGTTGATTGTTATCACCCTGAAATCTCAAAAAAAATATTCAAACAAAATTATAAAATCATCAATAATCAATTCAAATGTAGCAACTAATTTCTAACAGAGAGAGTGGGAGAGTATTTTTATTGTAGAACATTTAATACATATTAAAAATTTGTGACCTTAATTTCACTCTTGAAGAAACAAGATGTTTTGAATGACTTTCTTTTCCAACTCTTCTTTGTTTTGCTCTCTGTTAATGTCTACAAATTGTGTAGCATCTTGTTTACAGTAGCTGAATATAAATCCCCGCTTGCAATGAAAACCTTCGCCACAGCACTCGAAAGTTCTTCCGAATCTGAATTTTTTGCAGCACACTGTAAAGAATTGAGAAAAATAACTATTTTTGAATAATAATTAAAAATCTTAAATAACAATTTTTCATCAAGGCCTGTAAGATGGTTTAAAAATTAAGATAATAGAACGATTTTGGCATTTCAATAATTACCACAAAATTTTAAACTCCAAGTAAATTAAGTCAAGAAAAAAATCTGAGATTTAAATTTACATTAAACGAAAGCCTATCAGGGAACGCGGAACCGGCTCTAACCGGTTCCAGACAGACTAACAGACTCTCATATTTTTTAAATGAAGGAGCAAGGAACGTTTTAAGTTTAGAATTTTTCACTTTATACTTGTGTAATTAAATTTATAATTTAAAAAAATAATAATAATTTTCTTATGTCTGAATTCAGAAGAAGAAAAAAAAAATTTTTTTTCAATCGAGCTTCAATATATACAGTTCTGGCCAAATTATTAGACGCACTATAAGTTTCTATGTAAAAGCTTAACAATCAGGTGATACTATACAGCTATGTTTTTACGCTGCTGAAAATGGTTTGCACTTATTTAAGTTCGTGTATCAATTGGTTAAATTAGACGATATATTATACACACATATATATATATAGAGAGAGAATATTTATTACATCAGGTATTATATTAGTATATTATAATAATTGGACAAAATTATTAGAGGCATTGCGGTGTTTTAATAATTACATGTTTTGCACGAGTTTACATGCAATGCTTTTATATTTAAATATACAATGTAATGGGTTTTTATTCAGGAGATTTTTATATACTTCCTATTTGTATTTATTTTTAACGTATTGTATTACAATGTTAACCAACTGATACATGAACGTTAACAAGTGCAAACCGGTTTCAGTCGGGTAAATACAATAAAGCTGTATAGTATCACCTGATAATTAAGATTTCACACAGAATCTTACAGTGCGTCAGGGACTGTATATATGCCATGGTAAAAACTTCTTCAAAATCATCCCTTACTCATCCCCCCCGCAAAGGAAATATACGTCCTTATGGCTAACCGATGGGAAAATTCTTGGTTTTAAATGTCATATCGAACAAAATAAAAAATTTAAAAAAAAAAACGTTAAATGAGAGATAAAGAAATGACAGGTAAGCAATTACTTTTTAAATTTTATTATAATTTTCAATCAATTCGAATCATGATGTTGAAATTGTAGATCCGAATTCTTCATTGCTATTTTGGGAGGTTTAAATAATTCTTCTCTTTCTGAGGTTATTTATATATGTCACGGCGAAAGACCGAAATCGGTGATTGTTGACTTTCACCGGTGAATGTCGACAAACACCAAATACGTCGGTGAAAGATCGAATATTTCATTACATTCTTGTACATTCAAACCCTCACCGGTGTATGTCGACAATCACACATATGCTTTGGTGAATGTCCGAAATATTTATTACATTCGATTTGATGTGAATTTATTCGTGGATATAATTACATTTATTCGATATTTTAACCCTACACTGATGTTTTTTTAAGGTTAAGTGCCACTTGCCACTGCCCGGTATACCCTACACTGATGTTTTTTTAGGGTCAAGAGCCATTGCCCGGTATATACTTGCCCGATACAACAAACACTGATGTTTCTTCTAATCTATCGTCAGTAAGTATTAAAATATAGAATAAATATATCAAATAAATATAATAATATTAACGAATAAATATAAAATTGGATATAACAAATATTTCGGACATTCACCAAAGCGAATATGTGATTGTTGACATTCACCGGTGAGTGTCAGAAATAAGGGTATTTAGCAAATATTTCGGACATACACCAAGCGACTACGTGAATGTTGACATTCACCAGATTTCGGTGTTTCACCGTAACATAAATGTATATTATCGTGAATGACCGAAATCAAGAGAATGTCGACTTAAGCCGGTGAATGTCAACAATCGCAAATCCCAAAATATTTGTTATATACGATTTGATATTAATTTATTCGTTCATTTTATTATATCTATTCGATATTTTAATATCTGCTGGAGGATAGATTAGGAGAGACATCAGAGTTCGGAGTACTGTTTAAATGCATACTGGGTAGTGGCACTTGACTTCAAAAAAACATTGATGTAAGGCATACCGGGGACAGAAGCACTTAACTAGACCTAGTATATTTTTCGGACATTACCTAAGTGATTATAAGCCTTCACCGGTAGAAATCAACAACCACTAATTTCGGTCAATCATGAAAACACATACACACGTATATATATAAATATATATA